GTGTGATAGTTCATATGCATTTGAAATTCATATGCTAGAGAATGTTTCCTTATGACTTAAGGAACAGTAACACAGGTGGGAGAATTTGGGAAAACATCATTTCTGTATTTCTCAACAAAGGTGAAGGACCCATTAATCTATAAAAGCCTAAATTTATATATATACATATATATGATATCTTAAATTTATATATTATATATATTAAATTTATATATCTATATATACATGATGATACTATATAATAAGTTATCTGAATATTCTTGTGAACGCAAAATTCCAAAGCATAGACTTTAACTATGTGCCTCCAAACCAATTTCATAATAAAATGATATTGTGTACTTATTGGTAAAATTACATGAATTTAATGTGCTGTATGAGAAATAAATTTTGGGCCCCAGTGTAATGGCTCAGGGGCTAGATCCTCACCTTGCCTTGCATTAGCTGGATTCCCATATGGGCAGCAGTTCATGTCCCAGGTGCTACACTTCCCATTCAGCTCCCAGCTTATGGCCTGGGAAAGCAGTCAAAGACAGCCCAAAGCCTTGGGACCCTGCATGCATGTAGAAGACCCAGAGCAGGCTCCTGGCTCCTGGCTTTGGATTGGTTCAGGGCTGACCACTGCAGCCACTTGTGAAGTGAACCTGCTGATGGAAGACCTTTCTTTCTCTCCTCCTTTTTTGCAAATCTGCCTTTCCATTAAAAATAAACTAATCAATAAGAAAAAAATAAAAGGGGCCGTAAATTTTGGTTTCCCAGTACATAAAAAAGGAGGTAGTAAAGAAAACAGTTCTGAAGTCATCAAGTGAATGACATATAATATTTATCTGCTAGAGAAGTATTTTTCTTTTGGCGGTCATATTAGACCAAAGAAAGTAATGGATAAATTTGATAATTCTCAATCCATCAGAAAAGTCTGAAGTGCAGGGTTAAATGAGCAAATGGGAGAGAATGTAGGATTAATATTGCTAAGGAAATTAATAAATGGAAGATAATGATCTGCTCATCTACTGGTAATTCAGTGAGCCGTGTGGTGTACCTTACCAAGGAAGAAACAGGGATGGTTTGGCATAGAAAAAACCTTCCCAGTCTTTGCATGAGTTAGGGAACTGATCATGGAGGGAACGTAGGAGTGCATGAGAAGGTTACTGTGAGAAGGAACAATGTGTATTTGATTTGATAGGAAATGTCAAGAATACTACAAACCTTTGATAAAGATTCATGGAAAATATGTATAACAGAAAAATTGCATGTAGACTTGAAAATATTTTTACTCAATGCATAGTCTTATAACTGAATTTTCCCTGAAATTGTTAAAATATCCTTGTTTATGTAATAATATGCATATATACACAACTCAGTAGGAAAGGAGAAATGCTTTACTTGAATTAGTCGTTACCTGAATCATAAATTTCTTTTTCTCCTGCCATCAATCTGTGCTCCAGGAAAAGATGACTCCTTGATGTTTCAGTGTTGCTTTTGACATTCTAGCTACTTCGCTTCTCTTCTATTTTCTTTTTTTTCTTTAATTCTTTTTAAAAATATTCATTTATTTGAAATAATTATAGGGAGAGAGAGATGGTGAGATTGAAAATAAACAGGACCAAGGACAGGAACTAGGCACTTCATCCAGGTCTACTACATGGGTGGCAGGGACCAGGCACTTGGGCCACCTTCCACTGCTTTTTCAGACATTAGCAGGGAGCTGGGTTGCAAGTGGAGCCACAGGTGCCACAGGTGGTGACTGTAGCCACTACAGCACAGTGTCAGACCCATTTCTCTTTTTGTCAAAGTGCTGACAACTGGCTAAATCTGTTGATATTGGGTTTTTCATGCATTTCCTTTTTCACATTTTAAGGCTTTCATGAACCACGAAGGTCACAAGCAATTTATATGTGCTTTACTATCCTACCTGATTGGAGGTTGTACTAATGTGACTTGGATATGATACCAATAGTATTAGTGATAGGTTTTCTTTTCCTGTCTATCTTTTTACATTGACGTGTGTGTGTGTGTGTGTGTGTGTGTGATTACCTGGAAAGATGGCTTTCATGCCAGGAACAGTGAGTCTCTCACTGATCTATACTACTTAGCAAAATTATATAGCGCAAACTAAATTCATTTACTAGTATGTGATCCATGTTCTTTTCTCAATGTGTTTCTAAACTTTGGTTGAAAATGCAATATATCCTTCCTATATTGTATAACCTGCTGCTCTTGAAATTTACTTTATTTAGACCTCATACATCTTTGTTCTTGCATTTTGTGCTAGTAGACATTTCTAAGTGTATGTTGAATGACAGAATGGTTGATATATTTCTTAAATTCTCTTCATGGCTCAGTTATCTCATCCATAAAGATGTTCAATATCACTGACCCTTACAGACAATCAAATTAAGGGTGCAGTGGTCCATTACTAAACTACAAGTCACCTTTTAAAAACACACAAGTCAGAGGTGTGTTGCTTCATTGGTGTCCAATAGAAGGTAGAAAGAATAAGTTTCTAGTGATACAAGATGCAGTTTAGTAGATACAATTCAGGATAAATTCTGCATTTTCTGTGCTTATAGAAAATAGTAACTTCAAGTATTCAGTCATAAATGTCACAGTTTGAACATCCTGATTTGATAATTCACATTATACATAGTTATAGAAAAGTCACACTTTATGCTATAATATGTATTATTATTGCAGCTAATATTTGAAATGTTGTTAAAAGATTTGGCTAAGAAAAGATATTTAAAAATCAAATAAGTGTCAACCAGAGGTCCTGATGAGTGCAAATGTTCACACCAGCCACATTTTGACTAGAACAAATCAAGAAGGCAGGAATTCCATCCTAGTCTCTCATACAGGTCATTGGGGCCCAAGTATTTGGACCATTTTCTGCTTTTCTCTCAAGCATCTTATAAGGAAGCTATACTGGGAAAAAGCAGCCAGGATTGAAGTGGGCACTTTGATATAGGATGATAGCTCTACAAACAGGGCCTTAAACGACTTTGCGTAAGATCAGCTCTTATTTTTTTTAAATGTTTTTAAATTTTATTTATTTCATTATTTTATGATACAGTTCCATGATCTCTGGAATTTACCTTCCCCCTCCCCACTGGTTTCCCCTATACTATTACAATGGTACAGTTCTTCATACACAGTCATAAGTTCATTCTGATATTTAAGTGCATCATGCAATTGTAGGTATGGGCAATGGGAGACAGTCCAGAATAGTATTGTCAAGATATATTTAACAGTTTCATTGGGAATCCATCTTTGATTTGAGAGTAAAGATGCATACTGCATTTTATGTTCATATCTGGATATGATAGCCTCTATTACATAGTTACTCTATATCCCGTTAAGTAAATAGTCGTAAGACAAAATCAACAACAGGAAGAAAAATTGAAAATTTACAATGCCATGAAGTTAAATAACATGCTACTGTGTGGCCAATGTGTTGGTAAATACATGAAAAAGAAAGTCAAAAGCCTCCAGAAGGAAATGATGCTACTGTATATGACGTATGAGTCAGTAAAGAAATTAATATGAAAACAAATGTTTTTAAAGAAATGAACATAAAAAGTAAAATATTAAACCACCTGAAATGTAGGAAAAACAGCATTTATCAGAGAGAACATAGTAATTTTTTTTAAGATCACAAATTTTGAGATTTACTTATTTTTCAAAGGTATAATTCTAGGGAGATGGAGTGACAGGGAGAGAAATCTGTGATCCACTGATTTACTTTCCAAATGGCCATAATTGCTAGGGCTAGGTGCTAGGTCAAACCAAAGTCAGGAGCCTGGAGCTTCTTCCAGGTCTCCCATATTGATATAAGCCCAAGCATTTAGAACACCCTCTTTTGCTTTGCCAGGCACATTAGTACGGAGTTGAATCAAAAGTGGAGCATTTGGTACTGGCACCAGTTATGACTCTGTAACAGGCAGATTACCCATTACTCCATAGTTTCTGAATTTCTAAGGCAATTCTGCCATCCTACATCCCCATCAATGATGCTTGAGATTCTCTGTTTCCTCACTTTTTGCTAATAGTTGATGTTAGTTATTATATTAATAATGTCCATTTATTGGATATGACATTTTATTATACTTTCTATCATTCAATAACTAATAGAAATTTGGAACATCATGATGAATGTGGATTAATCATTTGTGCAAATGTTGGTACCTTTTATAATGAACACATAATAACTTTTGTGAAATAGTTTTTCACAGTTGAGAAGATTATATGGCTTTAATGTTTAATCATATTAATATGATTATTACATTTGTTGATCTGGCACCATTACAACAAAAATGTTACCTTTAAGATATTCATACATAGATATTTATGTGGATTGTTGAAAGGTAAATTGCAGACAAATAATTTCTCAATGCTGCAACGAAACAAAAAACAGATGTTGTTCTTTCTTTAGTTCCTTTCTTCCTTTTCCTCTTTCAAGTATAATCTCTTACAGGTCCCTACAGTGCGGAGTCAATCAAACATTGTGGATCTCTGTCTTGTTTGAAAGGAGAAATTTGCCAAAATGGCACATCTGTTTATTTCTTTGAATACCCAGAGGGATTTCTCAATCAAAACTGTGAACCTGATATTGTTGAGTGCTCATCGGTAACATGTTGGACTGATACTAATTATGTCAACATCACAAGTGTAAGTCTGAATTTGGTTTAAAATGAACGATTTTTTTCTACCGTTAAAATTATGGGTGATCAAGTGAGTTATTAAAACACAATTTTGGTAACAAATAAGAAATCTACTTAATAGGATTACTTGAGGCTGGGGGAGGGGAGTGAAGGAAGGACAGTGGGATTATCAGCACCAAAATCCATTTGTAAGAAGATAGTGGATAGTGTTTCCTGAAGCACAATGCAGATGACTGTAGATTTACCTGTTCTTGATACTTTTTCACCACTGTCCAGGTAAGAGCAGAGTCACTCTCCTTGAAATATCTGAAAACCTTTGTAAAAGTAATCTTCAATTTTTCCTAGGATCTTATGTGCATCTGTTCGCCAATGTTGACAGGCAAGTCTTGTAAGTTAATTCAAATGTTGAATAAGATATTTACTGGGAAGAATAATTTCAACTGGACCACAAGTGAGGAAGCTTGTCACTACAGGTATAATTATTTCCTGTCTGTATTTTAGGGCACAAATGCATGGTTTGCAGTCATGTATGCAGAAGTGAAATAATGTTCTGTGTTTAAATTTGATATGTGATAGTGACTCAAATAATTTATTTCAAGTTGAAAGAGAAAATTTTTCTCAAGTCTTGGATTAATTATTGCAATTTTAAAAATTGAATGTTTAAGCAGTTTTATGTGCAGAAGTTGTGATTTAGTGGGTTATGCCACTATTTGGGAAACTCGCATCCTATTTCAATGTTCTGGAAAGGAGTCCTGCCTCCACTGCTGATCCTTTTTCCCGCTAATGTATACTCTTCAATTAAGCCGATTATGGCACAAGTGCACAGGCATCTGCCACTCTGGCAGACACTTGGTTGGAGTTCCTGGGTCGCAGTTGTGAGCTGCCAAGCACTGCATATTACAAACATTTGAGAAGTCAACCAGCAAGTAGATCTCTTTCTTCCTCTCTCTTTTCTTTCTCTCCTTCATCTCTTTATTAAAGTATATATAACTTAAAGATTTAAAATTAAATATAAATGAATTCTAAAGCAAAAATTTTCAAATGCAATTTAAGCATAAAGTTATAGTTTGTTTATACCAATAATGAAGATTTTAAAATTAAAAATTAATATCTGAATATCAAGAAGAAACTATGTGGTTTTACAATATGATTTTTACTAACCATATGGTATTAAAATATTTTAAAAGGAAGGGATATCCATGGCTTCCTTTAACTTTTTTAAGAATTTTAAATTTTTTATTGAAAAGTCAGATATACAGAGAGGAGGAGAGACACAGAGAAAGATATTCCGTCTGCTGATTCATTCCCAAAGAGGCTGAAATGGCTAGAGCTGTGCAAATCTTAAGCCAGGAGCCAAGAGCTTCTTCCAGGTCTCCCAAGTGGGTACAAAGTCTCAAGGCTTTCGGCCATCGTCAGCTACTTTCCCAGGCCACAAGCAGGGAGCTGGGTGGGAAGTGGGGCCGTTGGGATAAGAACCAATGCCCATATAGGACCCTGGCGCATGCAAGGCGAAGGCTTTAGTAGTTAGGCTATCGTGCTGGGACCAATAGCTTCCTTTCTTATAATTTAGAAACTCAACCTGGATAGTATTCACTTCTTTTTTTAGTGAAGAATTTTAGGGGCCCTGCGCAATAGTGTAGTGGATAAAGTCCTCAGCTTGAACCCCCGGGATCCCACTGGGTCACCGGTTCTAATCCCGGCCACCCTGCTTCCCATCCTGCTCCCTGCTTGTGGCCTGGGAAAGCAGTCAAGAATGGCCCAAAGCCTTGGGACCCTGCACCCACATGGAGACCTGGAAGAAACTCCTGACTCCTGGCTTCGTATTGGCTCAGCTCCAACCATTATGACTACTTGAGGAGCAAACCATCGGACAGAAGATCTTCCTCTCTGTCTCTCCTCTCTGTATATCTGTCTTTACAATAAAAATAAATAAATCTTAAAAAAAAAGAATTTTAGGAAATATTTTGGTTTTGAGTACATATTTTAATCAATTTTAAAAAGTCTTTTGAGTATGTTCTCACATCATTAAGAAACATATGTATATCTAATCCTGAATCAAGGGAGAATTCCAAATGAACCTTTTAAAATTATACCTTGACAGTTTATACTAGAATATCTGTCATTGTCTATTCCTTCAATTCCATAACACACTTAAATGAACAGTATTATGGGAGTGTGCCCTCAAAGATCGGCAATGTTATGAAACAGACATTTCTGCTTTTTTAGCTTTTTTTGTCCATTGAATTAATTGTTTCACTTTATTATCTCAGAGTATTTTTTTTCCTGACAATTGAGTTGCCATTATTATGCCTAGCACTACGGAAGTGTCAGTTTGGTGAACTAACATACTCTTTTTTCCTTCTCACGTCACTTTCATCACTTCATTAAACTGTGATAAGTCTCACCATGTCAACCATAGATTGTGTCAGGATTTTCAGTTTATTTCACAGTAAAACTAATTAAGTATGCATTGCGACCTTGAAATAGAAAAATGCTGAGAAATGGATAAGCCAACATATATTATATATTCTTTCCAGAGATAATGAAGCTACATTTTCACATGGAGTTTTGGATTTTTTTTTAAAGAAAATACTGATCCTATTTGGATTAGTGACCTACTACCTAGTGGAGCTCTAAATATCACTCAGTAATCCTCAGCAAATCAGAAATCTCAATCTTGTCAGGTTAATTATTTTAAAGCTTGTGTTGCTAGATTTTTTTTCCAAGTAAAATCAATTTAGCAGATTTACAAGGTAAACTTTGCCTTTTGAATAACTCCTGAAACTATACTTTTTATTTTCAATTAAATTTTGTATTAACTCCATATTTAGAGTTTAATATAGAACATTGTTGGCATACGCATCAGGAATCGGAGCAATTTCTGCTACTGTTCATGTAGATTCATGTTTTCTGGGATTGTTACACATGACAAGTGTCGTCCTCTGATCTGGTTCCTTAGGTGCCAACCATTGAGAATGCATGTTTCCATTAGTAAAACGTTTCATCCACTAGTCTCGGATATATTACTCTCCCTGCAAATAATATATAATGAAACACAACAGATGTAAGTGCATACATGCAGACACATGATGGATTAGCAAGGTGCAGTCATGAAGACTTCTAGGGTTCACATCATCAAGGAAGTCTTAGTTCTGTAATATCCTGTACAATCTCATTGATGCCGATATTCTTCCACAGTCCTCTCTGGATCTTGTTCTCTTATCAGCATGTCTTCCAACATTCACAATATCTTTTGTAAATGTTGTTTCCGTTATATTCTACCAAACCTAAAGACAGTTCTTATAGCTATATTAAGCAGCACTGTTCATTCTTACACAACTTGTATAATACATGCAAAGTTGTATATATCCTGTCTCTTCTAATTTTGTAATTAGGCAAGTTTTTCATACTTATGAACACAGTATTCATATTAACATAAAACATCAATTTTTAGCATTATTTTAAGGGAATATTTATTGAAGTCTGAGAGCCATTTTGGAAATCTACTTATCTTAATGGTATAAAGTCACTGGAAATTATTTTTACAGACTTTCCTCTATTCCTCACTTCTGTCTGTCTCCCTTGGTCATACCCTGTTATCCATCTTGATCTGTAACTGCATGTTCAGACATACATGAATTTAAATATCTCCACTCCATGTTTACTGCTTCATTAAGCTCATTCATTCTCTGAATGCCCATGTTTGACAATTCTTACAACCAAAATGCACCTCCATCCCTGTGACTGTACAGGTTCTGTTCTTTTCTTCTGTAAATATAGTTCTTTATTTTCCATTGTAAAACATATCTTTATATCCAAACTCGTATTTCTTCTCTTCCTTGTTCAATGGTACATTGACCTGAAAACATGAAAGCTGTTTAATTCTCCATCTGGCCAGTTAAATATTTGTACACTATCATAAATGCCTAATACAGAATCTCAGTATATTCTAAATTAATGAATGATTTTAGAGTCCTGGACAAACTTGCCTTTCTGCTAGTGATCTTGTAGTTTTGTTTGTTTCTGTTTATTGCTCTCTTCTAACCCCCTTCTTGTCCATCAGCAAATTGTTTAAACATACCCATGTATGCAAACACATATATGTATAATAGGGTAATACTTTTGTCGAACCACCATGAACTCATATCCAGAACAGGTTCACACTATAACTCCCTTCCTTTTATTCTACATAGAAATAAATGTGGAACAATGAATGAAATCATCATTGAGAAAGTTAATGTTTCCTCAAAGATTTGAAAAGGTGAGGGGACATGCAGCTGTGTAGGGGAACAGTGCTTACTGATGATAGAATGTCTTGTGCAAAAGCTCTGGTCTATTCAGACTGCTTTATTACTGTCTGGATTAGGATTACAGAGAAGAATAATAATAAAACACTGGGTTATAACATAAAGATGCAATCAACACAATGCATCCATATTCTTGGCTGAAACAGTAAAAATAACCAAAACAGCACTAGTTTATGACCTAAGTAAGTAGAGTTGAGTTGCTGTCATCTTACATTATGAAAGCTATGGCTCAATCATAATTCAATTATTTGCTTCCTTGTCATCTCTTTCTGAAAAAGTTTGCATGTGTTTTAAAATCATTACTTTTCCTGCCAGTGTTATTGAATTGATTCCCAAATAATTTAACTGATAATAATTTTAATAATTATTTTTGATAATTAACAATCATTTTAATAATTAATAATTGTTAATAATTAAAAATTCAGAATGCTTCAAGTGGCTATCATTATGTTGACTGATTCTCCTCCGGCAAATGTCAGCATCCTATGCTATGTCCCAGCTGCTCTACTTCCAATCCAGATCCCTGCTTATGGCCTATTAAAGCAGCAGAGAACAGGCCAAAGCCTTGGTACCCTGCACACATGTGGGAGACCTGGAAGAATCTCCTGACACCTGGCTACAGATCTGCACAGCCTTGGTGATTGTGGCCATTTGGGGAGTGAGCCAGTGGATGGGAGATTGTTCTCTCTGTCTCTCCTCTCTAAATCTGCCTTTCCAGTAAAAATAAATTAATCTTAAAAAAAATGTTTCCATGGAGAACCATCTTTTTTTGCTCCTGCCTATTCCTGTATCAGCACATCTCACTGTACTCTCACATTACTAAATCCACACCACTTTGATTCTTCCAATTGTCTTTTTGGGTCCCTCATGTATCTCATGCCTCAGAACTTTCCATTTTTCTGGCCTCCTTTTCAGAAGAACACTCTTACCCCAAATTTTCATTTTTAATAAGCGTTAGTCCAAGTGCTGTCTTTTTCAAATGTGTCTTTTCTTTTAATCCTGACAGCTCTGAAATAGCATGTTTCAGTCCCTCACTCAAGTTTTGCCTGGCTTTAATTAGCTTGCAGCACTTATAACCATGAATCATGTTATAGTATATGTATATCATTTTACTCCTTTCCTGTATAACTAATGTATGTTTGGCAGATCTAGTGATTTCAGTATTGATTTTCTATGTGGTAGAATCAAAGCACATTCTTCTCATTGTAGGTACCAAATATGGAATTTTTGTCTAGTAACTTTTTTTTAGGTTTAAATAGCCACTTGACATGAATTTGCTCGAAGATTCAAACAATGATCAGATTTCTCAGTTGATGTCAAAAATAAATTGATGAAACAGGGATGAACTATACATAAGTGCTTATATCTCATTCAAGTCATAATAAGAAAGTGTGCAGTAGTACCTGAAAGCTTCCACTGTACAAACGTCTTTATTTACATTGAAGGCTTCCAACCCAGAGCTGGAATAGGTACATGACAGTGTTGAAATTGCTACAAGGGACTCTGAATCGGAATTTCCTTCTGTACAAGATTACATTGAAGATGAATATGTGCTAGAAAGCTTTATTTGAGACAAAAATAGCTGCTGTCTTAGAATGTCCACTCCAGGAAAAAAAAAAAAAAAGAGCACCAAAAACCTTGTGTAATTTTCAAACAACTGGTAGGAATGGTTTAAGTTAACAAGTAGAAGACACTTTTTGCTGTTAGTTTATAACTTCCTCATTTTCGTCTCAAAAATATCATAGAGCTAAAAAGAATGATCCCCGTGTCTGTGAAACTTTAAGCAAGAATATACATTTAGCACTCAGCACGATAGCATAGTGGTCAAAGTCCTCGCCTTGAACACGCCAGGATCCCATATGGGCACAGGTTCTCCGGGTGGCTCCACTTCCCATCCAGCTCCCTGCTTGTGGCCTGGGAAAGCAGTCAAGGATGGCTCAAAGCCTTGGGACCTTGCACCCGCCTGAGAGACAGAAGAGCTCCTGGCTCCTGGCTTCGGATTGGCTCAGCTCCAGCTGTTGCGCTCACTTGGGGATGAACCATCGAATGGAAGATCTCCCTTTCTGTCTCTCCTCTCTGTATTTCCACCTTTCCAATAAAAATAAGATAAGCCTTTTAAAAAAAGAATATATATTTAAGCTTACAGTGATATTATGATATACTTTTCTTCATACTTTAAAAAGTGTTTATTACTAAGGCAACAAAATGATTGCAACTGGAAACCATTAAGTATGATGAAATAAGCCAATCCCTAAAGGGAAATATCATGTTTTCTCTGATATGTGCTATTGTATCCTTTTGCTTTTTGAATATAATTGTGATTGGAGCATCTGTGATTAAAAAGTAGATTGAAATACCAGAAAAAAAAAAAGGAAAGGAAACAAAGAAGGGATTGAAGGGTGGTGAGTTGGAGAGCGGGACAAGAGTAATTTTCTTAAAATTATACCCATGAGATAAGAAATTCTGCTGTCTTCATGTTACTAAATTTTTAAAAAATATATATTTTTATTTGAGTCACAGAGTTGCATAAGGAAGGAAGGAGGGAAAGGGAAGGAGAGAGAGATTCACCCATCTGTTGGTTCACTCCCCAAGTGACTGAAACATCTGGAGCTGAGCTGATCTGCTGTCAGGAGCCAGTTTCTTCTGTTTCTCTCACACGGGTTTATGTTCCCAAGGACTCAGCCATCTTGTGTTGTTTTTTTCGGCCTGAGCAGGGAGCAGGTTCAAAAGTCGGGCAGCTGACACTTGAACTGGTACCCACAGGGGATACAGATGCTGTTAACAGAGGCTTAGACTACTGTGCCTTGTATCAACAATGTTTTTTATGTCAATTTTTACTTTTTTAAGTTCTATGAAGAGAGTTCTTCATTATCTTATTGAAAATGTGTTTATATGATAGGCAGAATAGCATAGTTTGAGAGACAAGGGTGAGACAGAGAGAGACCTTCCATCTTCTGATTCACTCCAATGGCCACATCAGCCAAGGCTGACCCAGACCGGAGCCCGGAAGGAAGTAGTGACTACTGTCTTTCACAAATTCAACATCCACTCTTGTGTCAGCCTCATTACAAGACATCTAGACATATTACAATATAGAAAGGATGCTGAAATCAAGTCATTTCGTTTTCTGGTGTAAAGGTAAGCAAAACTGGAAGTAAGAATTTGTATACATTCACTCATTTAATGAGACCTGTGTTAATGGCACGTCAGCAAAGTAATAAGTACTTACATTCACACACTTAGAGAGATATAGTTTAAACCAGTATATTTGAAGCAAAGTATTGGTAGATAGGAAGAAGAAAAGAACAAAAGAAGAGAGGAAGGGACAGAGGCAGGAAAGCTTGTTATTTTGAGGCTTAACGGGAATATTTTCTTAATGAAAATTTTCCCTGCTTTTAGGATAATGATGTTGGTCTTTTGAAAAACAAAGTCATATAAAAGCAACTATCCTAGTGGCTAATACACTTTGTGTCAAAAAGTATGGATATTCCCAATATAAGTGAAGTAGTAATTCAGTTTTTTTTCAGGTGCCACTGCAAGTATGCATCCTTCTTACATTTTGTTAAATTGAGGGAACATGTCTTTTGACCCTTATTTTTAAAAAATTATTTTGCATTCTATTAAGAACTGTGAAATACTGAATATGTAGTTATATGAACTGCATTGTGAAATCATCTTGTAAGAATGTAGAATCTTGAAACATTTTTTAGTCATAAAAGCTCAAGTGATTACTTCAGTAATAATACTCTCTCGTTTAATACCCAAATATTTATATTAAATATTTTAAAATTAAAAGCGATAGACATATGTGTGTATACATGTTGTGGTGTCAAATCAAGATCAACATCTTTTTCTGCAGATACTTAACCTTTCTTTACACTTAAAACATTCAAATCTTATCCTGCACACTTTTTAAAAGATAGATATCTAAATGTGATTAATGGGGATTACATTAATTATAAACATTAACAAGAGTGATGGCTAGTAAGAATATCATTATGCATGTTACAATTTATGGAGAGCAGCTGATGAGCTTTTATAAAGATGCATACATATTTCTATAAATTTTCAAAATGATGAAATGCAAATATCTATATCTAACCCAACTATAATCACACTGCTATGGTCCATTGTAAGTCTGTGCACCATCACAAATTCACACAGAGGCTCTACTAAATATTGAAAATAATTGTCACTTTTTTCTAATAATTCTCTATAATACTCTCTTTTTTTCCCAATGTAGGAGAAAACATAGATAGTTTCAATTAAATCACAGTTTAGGTCAAAGTTAATATTATTCTTAATTTTTAAATGTAATATTAAGGGCTCAGTGTGATAGCCGAGAGGCTAAAGTCCTCATCTTTCATGCGCCGAGATCCCGCATGGGATCCGATCTGGCCCAGCAGCTCTGCTTCCCATCCAGCTCCCTGCTTGTGGCCTGGGAAAGCAGTTGAGGATGGCCCAAAGCCTTGAGACTCTGAGCCTGCATGGAAAAGCCAGAAGAGGCTCCTGGCGCCTGGATTCTGATCAGCTCAGCTGGGGCCATTGTGGCTATTTGGGGAGTGAATCAGTGGACAGAAGATGTTCCTCTCCTTTCCTCTGTATATCTGACTTTCCAATAAAAATAAATATTTTAAAAAGGTAATATTAAGATCATCCAATGAGAATGTAGTTTACTATCATTTTTCAAATATGAATTAATCTGTTTTTGTGGCTGACAATTTAAGTATAGCAAAAATTTCAGTGGTTGAAATTATCATGACAATGCCTAGTTTATATAATTTAAATTATGATTTTAGAATACAAGTAATACATTTTTTTATGGGAATAGTGAAATTACAACTTTTCTAATACGTGCTGATCTATTTACAGTTGCATGCCAGGCGTTACTGTAAAAAATGATGACAAAGAAGGTGACCCCTGTAGACTGGTCAGCATCAACTGTCTGAATGAGGAATGGAATTTCACTATGATTGGTCAGTTCAGAGTAAGTAATTTAATACATGACAAAGTAATTTAGCATTTAAAAATACAATGGCTAAGGTCTGTATTTCAAGTGCTTTTATTTATTTAAGACAGATAAATATCTTCTTACATGTACAATTAAGTGTGCTATACATGCATCTTAGTGCTTACAGGATTTTTGTTGAGAACATTAGTAAGTGTTGTAGGGCATGGTTTTATTAGGAAAAAATATAACTGAGTCCTAATAATATATGTATATCCATAAAATGCATTGGATCCTAGGTTAACAATTTAATATTTGAATGCATTAAGTTACTTAACTGAATAGAAAGTAAAATTAGTTTAGTAATTGTTATCAAAATATATGAAACATGAATATTAGTGGTTACTTCTTGAGATGCCCTCTACACGGAGTGTAGATGTTTGTTACACATATTAAGGCACAACCTAGAATCCCAAGCTAACCTATTATAACTAGAATCCCAATTACACCTATTGGAGAAATGATCAGTTGTGTACTAAAAGAGACAATGAGTAGAAGTTTTTTTTTAAGCTTTATTTGTATTTATTGAAAATAGAGAGAAAGATCTTCCATCTAGTGATTCACTCCCCAAGCAGCCGCAACGGCTAGAGCTGAGCCGATTTGAAATCAGGATCCCAGACCCTCTTCTGGGTCTCCCACGCAGGTGCAGGGTCCCAAAGCTTTGGGCCATTCTTAACTGCCTTCCCTGGCCACAAGCAGGGAGCAGGATGGGAAGCAGGGACACTGGGATTAGAACTGGCTCCCATCTGGGATCCTGGCGCATGCAAGGCGAGGACTTTAACCACTGAGCTACCATGCCAGGCCCCAAGACTAGAAATTTTATTGCAAGCCTGAAACAAATTAAAGTCTATAGATAGAATGCTTTAATGCACCATGAAGTAGCCATACAATGGGATTAAAATCAGTGAACAATAGCTAGATGTGTTAATACTTATAAATACTAAAAACGTGTTGTATTACAGAGAGTTTAATGTAAGGCTGTCTCAAGTTCTGCCTTGAGTCAGATCCCACTCCCTGCCAACAGGCCTGGGAAGCAGTGACGATGGTTAAAGTGTTTGCCACTCATCTGGAAGAGCAGGATGATTCCCTGACTCCTGATTTTGAACTGGCCTAGTCACAGCTTCTGTGTTCATTTGGGAAGTGAACCAGCAAATCCAAGATTTATCTGTGTCATAAAAATAATGCTTTTAGGAAAAAAAAAAACTTAAAGCATGTCATCATTTGCTTTTTTTGTTGTTGTTTGGTTGTAACGATTCAGTCTTTATTTGAAAGGTAGAGTTACAGAGAGAGAAAAGAATACAAAAAGAGAAAGAGAGATCTTCTATATGCTGCTTCCATATGATGGTTTATTTCCCAAATAGTCAAAACATCTGGAAGAGGGCTGGTTCAAAGCTGGGAACTACAATCTTCTGAGTGAGACTCCACATGAGTGCAGTGTTTGGACCATCTGCTATAGCTTTTTCAGGCACGTTAGTAGGGAGCTGGATAAGAAGTGGATTAGTCTGGATTCATAAGCAGCACCCATATGGGATGCTGGCAACACAAATGGTGTATTAGCCTATTATGTCATGGTACCAGCCCCCAAACCATTGAATTTTAATATTTTAATTTAAGAATGATACCTATCTAATGTGACAAGCATTATTTAAAATTTAAAACATAAATATATGTATATTTTCTATGATTGTATACTTGTATAGCAGAAGTACAAATGTACAGATAATCATTATACTTGCCAGAGTTACTAAAAAGGATGCTCATGAGAGAATAGGAGGAGAAAAGACATTTGGGAGATTATAGAGATTTTTGTGAGTGCATAATACTTTTTAAAATATTTCTAATAAATATGGTGGAGATAGGGTATTAATTTTAGTATTTCTTTACTTACCAGTAGCATAAATAGTTTAATGAGAAGACACATTATTTCTTTCTGCAATTGGCTTATATTATTCCTTTATTAAAGAATTAAAATTAGAAAGGAGAAAACATAAAAAAATAACAAGGAAGGAAATGCCTCTGTGTAACAGTATTGCTGCAAGTACAGTTTTGTCAAACTTTATGTCCTTGTCAAACATTTAGGAATGATCCTACTATGTATTTTTAAGTTACTTATATTACTTGAAAGTTGGAGCTATAAAGAGGGAGAGTTGAAACTGGGCTGATCCAAAGCTAGGTGCCAGGACCTTTCTCTAGGTCTCCCACATTGGTGCATGGGCCAAGGCATTGAATCACTTTCCACTGCCTTTCCAGACACTTAGCATGGAACTGGACCCTAAATGGAGCAGCTGGGACTAGAAAATGTTCCACTGTGGAAGGCCAGCACAACAGGGAGAGTTAGTATGCTATCCACATATCCTATCATTGCATGGAAGGTCTTTGTTTCTCCCTGTAAATCACCCTCTCAAGTAAAAATAAATACATCTTTTGAAAAAAAGTTTCTGTTTAATATAATTGTAATCACAGTGAATTTTCACTGAAGACTCTATATGTACTACTTATTTTAGTTAATCTAAAATGTCATATCTTATTGAAATAAAACAGTTGGAATCCCCAGAGGAACTACATCAAAGAACTGAAAAACCTGATATGCTTTTAATATCCTTTTTATTCCACAGTAGGTCAGGAGGGCAGAGAAATATTCCACCTTCTTAGAATGTGTGAGGAAGATTTTAAATATAATCTGAGAAGATTGTAACAGGTGACTTATAGGTAACAGATTCTTAAATGCATTAGACATTAGCAAAAACTGTAGAGATTACAGTGCCATCTAAGAGCAACCGTGACAGCATCTTAACAGATCATATGCACAGAGCAGGAGGAGATCCCAGAAGGAACAGGAGGGTAAGAGGAGGTTTGTATCCTAGTCCCAGAGACCCCCACAGGCCTCCCAAGGACCTTCACTTATCCACAGAAGCAGTGGATACTTCATCAAGGATTGTCAGTATGGGCACCAAGGACCATAACCCGACTGGCAAGGAGATCACAGGGAATTTTAGTGCCCTCGTAGTCTGAGAACTCTGAGATCAGTCATTTCCTATTGGATCTATTGCACAGATTTAAGCAGCCCAGAACTCTCCTCATAGGATCTAGTGACATCAAAACAACAGCCAGGAGCCCCGGGTGGTCTCAGAGATAAAAGAATTGTAAATTTCCTTCTGGACTCAGGAGAGGAGCTATTTCTGGTCCTTACTTAGTTCTAACTTTGGCTCCCCATCCTCTCTTGCATTGACAATTGAGGTCACTCTGGAACTCCAAAATTAGCTCAGAAAGACACAGAGAGACTGATATAGAAAGCTTTGAACAGATAGGAAAAAGTTAGCTGGCCTATAATTGCTCCGTCTGTACCTTACTGATCAGGCTCCTGATTTGGCTTTTGCTAGACCTCACAGGGTAGGATGCAGAGTTCAGTAATTCCACACCTGCCAAGTTATTGTCGATTTCTCTGCTTACCTGCCAAAGACTGTTCTATTCTTCAGTTGTTAACATATGGCTTGTTAGAAGTGTAAGTCTGTTTTGATTATCCTAAAATGCACGAAGTTCTGTAACATCTTGCTTGAATACTATAAACTGCTAAATTTAGATATAATAAAAATGTACAAATATATCAAGGAAACACTAATCCAAAAAACTATTGATTTCTGTATTCATTCCACGTAAAATACCTTTTAGACACATAATCTGAAAATTATTAGTATAACTTAGTGCTATACCTTATAAATATGAATCAATATAAGTTGAGAAATATATAGGGAAATATTGAGCTCAAAGAGAAATTAATCTGCTACTAGGCCAAAATTCTACTTGGACTTTTTGACCACAGGTTTGACCTTTAAGTTTGACTTTGCCTTGCATGATTCCTGAAGGAAAGTTGACCACAAACTTGGTTCCTAGCCAGTGTATTCCATTTTACTGCAAGAAGATGTAGTGAAGGACTTGGCTGTGTTCCTTACTGCTCCCCTAGATGTCCTTGTATGTAATTACTTCCTAATCCAGAGTCTTCATTCGGGACCTCCCCATGGATAGCAGAGCAAGAGAAACTCAACTAATACACATTACGACTGCCTCCAGGGAGTTTATGAAGTTTATTAATTGCTTTTGAAAAATACTTAAAATATTCAGTGACAATTTCCTGTCAAATTTATATATATATATATGCATATATATATATGTATTTTTATGGATTTTAATGGGGTATGAGAAAGATCCAGAGATCAGTGTACACATCAGGAAATCAGGAACTCATGGTTTTCAGACAGCAGTGAGTACAGGATGGGAAGCCAGTAAAATAGCAAAAGGTTTTAGTTTCTGAAGTCATCAGTCACTGGAAAAATCCAGGACTTTATCATTTTCTATTAACATAAAGTTTTCTCAGTTTATTTATTTTGACTTGATAGAAACAATAAGTGTCCGAAGCCTTTGAAACACTCGGCATAAGCACCAATTAGAACCGACAGGGACACAAAAGCCGATAATCAGAGAGGAACCTAGACAATAACTAACTTGAAAGTTGGTGTGGCTGTGAATTAATGTGAGGATTTAACACGAGATAAAGTTTTTTCAATCACAGACTTGACAGCCAATTTAGCCCGGATGATATTAGAGTCATATGCAGATATGTATGAAATAGAAAATAAATCACAGTTACATGGTGATTTACTTCTGTTAATGGGATTATATTAAATTGATAACTGAAAGAAATGTTTTTGAATATACATTTCAATGAATTTCTGTGAAGAATGAAATATACCATAAAATGACATTAAGATTTCAGATTTGATATTAAACCCGACAGAAAGATATTACAGAACAAACCTATGTAGGTCAAAGCCTTATTAATTCTAAGCCATGCTCTTCATTATGAGTTAAAATTTTCTATTTTAAATTCATTTTCTTCATAATTAAAGTGGCACAAAGATGCTGAACTCTCTCATTGAAATTGTGATGAGGAATATCTCATCAAATGCATTCTCAATGCCAGT